GGTATACACTTGATTACTTTAACCAATTATGCTCCGACAGGTTTTTAGTTAATAGACTTTCTGATACCATCAAGATACTTTGCTTTAACTTCAGTTCAGGATTTGCATTCAGGATGTGTATCTTTTGTGAATACAATAGCATTCTTCATTATCTTGTACATCTTCATCAATCTACATCTTCATAAATCTACTATTCTGCTGAAATCTGGCCGACTCCTTCATTGTTAACTTTATTTGTTTGATTGATTGTGTCATTCTTGAAGATGTGCATGAATCTCAAACTTGGCAATTGCAACATTGAAGATGTTATTTTGGCATATTTTCCTATTGGTTTGTGAATAAGTTCTTATTAGATTTGTTTTCCCTCTATTTAATGACATCATATTCCAAAATTTATATTCCCCGGTGCACAATATCTGTGCGAATAACATTATTTTGAGTTCTAAACAATTAACGTCTTCAAAATGCTTTTGATATTACACAATGGATCTGTTGTATGCCAGTTCTTTATCATCTTTTTTCTTTTCTTGCTTCAGTTCTTTGCATATTATTTGGATCCATCAGAATTGTCTGCTTTAGTGGCTCTCATATGCAACGTGAAATTCTCATGCTTGCAGGAGAGGGTTCTCTCAGCTTTGGATGGTGCTGGACTATTCCTCAGCTGCAGCCTGACCAAGGACAAGGTGTGCTAGGTTCACTTTGAAACTTATCTATATTTCTCTTTATAGTGCTTAACTTTAGACTTTTACCATTGACCATACCTTAGTCTAAATGAATCAGTTTGTTAGCATGAAGTTGTGAGTTGCATTATTAACGAACTGTATGTATTACATTGACCTTCACTTGGAGGGAAACCCCTTACGTTGTGGATGATGCACAACAGGATTAAAATCTATCGTTTATTTTCTTTTCTTTTCTTTTTTCTATGTATGATTTAGGCACAGTTGTTTTAGTAATGTTCAATTGCAGTTGAGGAAAGCAATTTTTCCATTCTGTTCATCCTCCTCATTCATAGACGTACTTATCAGTAGTAATTTTAGCTAGATGTTCTAGTCTTAGTATTTGGCAAACAACTGAGACGAAAATTATTTAGTGAAAGTGAATATTTTCTAATGGGAAACCAGTTCTTCCTTTTATGCTTCATTGATTTATATCAATAAGGAATTTGTGGACGATTATCAAATAACCCCCTTAAGTTTAGGGGTTATGAGAAAACCCCCATCTAACTTTAGGGCCTGTTTGGATTCGTAGGGGGTGAAGGGAAGTTAAGGGAAACTGAGTGAAGGGAAGGGAAGGGAAGGGAAGGGAATTCCCTTCCCATTGGTTACACCCCAATTTAGGGGGTAACAATTTTTATACTATTAGGAGGTGAACCAAGGTGAATGGAGGTGAATTAACTTCACCTCCTATACTATTAGGAGGTGAACCAAGGTGAATGGAGGTGAATTAACTTCACCTCCTAAGTGTTCCCAAACAAGATGAATGGAGGTGAATGGTTCCCCTAACTTCCCTTCACCCTCATTCCCCCTCAATCCAAACAAGCCCTTAATATTTTTTAGAAAACCCCGCTAAAAGCAAGAGTGCAATTTTCACTGGCAAAAATATTCCCCAATGTAGCTTTACTCACCCACATGATAATTGCAGTTCTAACACTGTTAGGGATCTTGTGTAAAACCTTAAAGTTAAAGTGAGTTTTCAGATGACCCCTAAACTTAAAAGGGGTTTTCTGATATTTTGAAGTCATGGGGGCTATCTGATAGTCGTCCAAAGTGAAGGGGGGGTTTTCTGATATTTTGTCTTAAATAAATGTCCCGTGTTTCACTAGATAATATGGCCTTATCGCCATTTTCTATAATTAGACAATCCTCATAAGATAGCCATATGCCTTTACGAACTTAAAAAACACTTTTCAAGGGTGTAATGTAGATACGCTGCACTGCTTTTCAGGTTCTCTTTTGTAGCACTGACGTAGGAAGAACGTCATTTGTTCGACAGTTGGAGCCAGATTGGCATGTGGACTCAAATCTTGAAATAGTTTCTCAATTAGCTGTATGCCTTCTTGCTCAGTTGATTAATCCTCACCTCAATATATATTTTTGGGTTAATTGCACATAGACCCCTTGTAATATCGTTGTTTTGAACATTGTACCCATGTAGGTTCATTTTGGCAGATAGACCTGAGTTGAAGTTTTGACTCTTTCTCACCCGAGGTGAAATTTTGGCCGATAGCCGATGGTTGAAATTAGTGAGTGAGTATATCTGAGGGCGAGAAAAAGAATTCATCTAGGGGGCCTATTTGCCAAAATGAAATACAAGGATAGTAAGTTCAAAACAACGATACAAAGGGGGTCTATTTGCAGTTAACCATATATTCTTTATCAATATTGCTAACTTTCTGATGTGCATGGGTTATATTCAAAACAGCGGTTTATCAGATGCCAACTTCATATCTCGGAGCTTGAGTTGGGACAAATTGCATCCAACGTTTTCACTTCAAAAAGCTTGGAGCAGTACTTCGCATGTTTATGAGAAAGAAAATGAGTAATTGAGTACACAAAACTGTAGTTGGATTTCTATTTCTTCTCTCACGAAAATATTCACTACACAAACTATACTGATGGTAACATCTCCTTAAGAACTACAGATGAGCTGTATTTCGCTGGAATTTATGGAATTTTTTTTATTTGTAGATAGTACTGAATTCTCTCTCCCGTTTTCTTTTTCATGTTTCTGTTCAATGTTACTGAGTTTGCTAAGGATTTCCTTCTCACGTTCTGCTCAGTTTGGTCAGCTTCATCTGTGTTACTGAGCTTGCTTTCAAGGACTTGACTTCGGATATATATGTCTTTTTTTTCCTGGAAACCATTTTAGAGCCTGATTGGTTCGTTTCTGGAAACCGTAAAAAGTTGTTGTTCCGTCAAAAATTGTTTTTTGGAAAGAAATCCAGCTGGCACTTGGATGGGGGCCAATTTTCTTGTTTTTAGCCCCTTTCCTAGCTGTTTGTGGTGAAATTGGTTTCTCACTTTTGTCTGTTATTTACATTGTTGTTATTTCTATGATGCGGATCCCAAATGGCATCCTTTTCGCTCTCTTTTATGCAATCAAACAAAGACTAGGAAAAGTGTTATAGGAAACCATTTCCTATAACATTGTTTTCTTACTTTTTTACCGACCAAGAAGCCTGTAGCATTGTTTTTTTTTATTTTTATTTACCGACCAAGCAGCCTCTTATTCTAAGGTAGCTATATAGAAATTACTTTTTAATTTTTTTTATACATAAATCATCTTTAAACTCATTTAAAGTGAGTTTGCGTTGCAATTAATCACCTCGATGTTAATTTTTTACTAAAAAAGTAAAAATATATATACTTTAAAAAATCACTTTCGAAGTTAAATTTTCACTAAAAAAATAAAAAAATTACACTTTAAAAAAATATCTTTCAAGATACGTGACTTAAATCCTAACAAAGCATAGATATTAATAAAGAAAATGAGGCATGTGCCTATAGTAAGAGTTTTTAAGGGTTTTTAGACTAGGAGTTGGTTGATTGCAACACAAATCCAATTTAAATGTGATTTATGTATAAATTAAAATTTAAAGGTGGCTCTTGTGTAATTATCTTGCTTTTAAGATGGTTTCTAGGAAAAAAAACCCTATTTTTAATTGTGGATAGACCTGAATGGTATTGTTGTTTCTAACTTATTATCTCTCTAGTTGTTTTATTTTTGCGGATAGACACATGGAGTGAAATTCTTTCCAACTCTTGTACCCTCAGAGAAAATTGTTTCTTGACAAAAAGGTCTCATAAGGATAAGAGTCAACAAATTTTCACTCAGGAAGCCTATTGTTAACAATATAACTTGAGGGGCGAGAGTAGATCTTAAACAACAATAGTTGGGGGTGGGGTTGGGGGTTTTGGGGGGGGGGGTTTGTTTTTTTGGGGAGGGGGGGTGGGTGGGGGGGGGGGGGTTCTTTGTGCACGCCACAGATTCCCAGAGGGATGTAATTATTGAATGTTACGAATGTCGCTTCTTTCCCAAATTATAGTGGATAATAAATTCATACCCTTGCTATATATATTTCCTAATCATAATTAGATTCGCCTGCTGTGTATAAAAGTTAAGCGATTTTGTTCATAGCTTTCAATGCCAAAAGGACCCCAAATATGGGACAGCGGCGGGGACACTCATCTGTCCCCTCCCTGTCTCATATTTGGGTCGCCCTAGCACTACTCTTTCCTAAACTATGTAGTTCTCAGATTATTCCTTTAAGTAAATTTAACTGAAAAACATCTAGACTTATCCATCAATTTCCATAATTGATGGTTCCTGATTATCCTTTTTTTTTTTTTGGGGGGGGGGGGGGGGTTATTGCAGAGAGATCGGCTTGATCACTCATGCAGCGCTAATACATGGTATAGACCTTTTATTATGATTCAAGATATTGTGCAAGATATTGTGCCAATATTCTTATAATGTAGGGTTAGCGAAGAGCGTAGCCTGATTCAAGATATTGTGCAAGAGAGGAGGGTTTCATGGTATTTATCCGTGCAAAAGATTTCAATATTATGATAGGGTTTCGCAGTCTTTGTCCATTCAAAAGATTGTAAGGAGCGTGTTTTGAAGAGAATATGAGTGTTGATTATGTGAGGTTGAGAGAATGAGAGACGAGAGGTGAGTGGTTCCTCTTATAGTTCTCTCTGATACATAGTGAATTTCTCATATTGTTACCCCGTGGATGTAGGTCGAAGTTGGTCGACCGAACCACATAAATCTCGATGTTCCTTCTTCTTGATTACGGTTGTTTTCTATCTTATTAACTGTGAATTGGCTTCTGAGTTGCGAAGATCGTAGTACTCGGAGAGACTAAAATTTCCTAACAAGTGGTATCAGAGCCATGATGATGAACCCGGGAGTTGGTTTTCAAGATAGAAGTCGTCATCGTGCGAGATTGAAGAGCAGCGTTACAAGAATCAAGATGAAGAAAAAAAAATAAGGTATTGT